AGTACCACTCCATAATTTACAAGCTTATAAAGGTACAAGTGGTAGTATTTTCCTTGCTATTTTAAGTCCATCTAAGTGATTCTAGTTTGGTACCAAAGACTAGGACTTCTTCTTGATAAAAAAAAGGTTCAGATGACAGTAACAACTTTTATAGAGGAGATCCAAAGATATTTGAAAGGTGCTGATTTTTTTTGGTATTAATTTTAGTATAGAGAATTCGAATTCAATAAATAGTAGCTTTGTAGACTTAGGATACTTCAAGATCGATTTCATCAAATACGACTACACTCTTCACAAGTTCAACAGAGCATAAGCAGTTTTCAATATTTTTTAACCGACTCAGTAACTAACAGCACTGTAATTTTTCGCAATTTTTATTAATAAAATACAATACATTTATTCCAAAATACATACACTACAATTTAAAGTACTCTATTTACTGATTCGTCAGTACTTTTTCCAATTCTGATATCTGCTCGTTTATGGTTGGCTTTCCTTCATACATTATTAAAACTGTAGGAGCTCTTTGTCGGAGAAATTGTGCTAGCACCACTCCATAATTTTCAAGCTTACAAAGGTACAAGTGGTAGTATTTTGCTAGCTATTTTAAGTCCATCTAAGTGATTCTAGTTTAGTACCAAAGACTAGGACTTCCTCTTGATAAAAGAAAGGTTCAGATGATAGTAATAACTTTTATAGAGGAGATCAAAAGATATTTAAAAGGTGCTGATTTTTTGGTGGTATTAATTTTTGTATAGAGAATTCGAATTCAACAAATAGTAGCATGGGAGACACTTCTAGATCGATTTTATCAAATACGACTACACTCTGCACAAATTCAACAGAGCATAAGCAGTTTTCAATAGTTTTTAACTGACTCAATAACTAACAGCACTGTAATTTTTCACAATTTTTATTAATAAAATACAATAGATTTATTCCAAAATACATACACTACAACCTAAAGTAGTCTATTTACAGATTCGTCAGTACTTCTTCCAATTCTGATATCTATTCGTTTATGATTGACTTTCCTTCATACATTATTAGGAGCTCCTTGTCGGAAAAATTGTGCTAGCACCACTCCATAATTTACAAGCTTGTAAAGGTACAAGTGGTAGTATTTTCCTTGCTATTTTAAGTCCATCTAAGTGATTCTAGTTTGGTACCAAAGAATAGAACTTCTTCTTGATAAAAGAAAGGTTCAGATGACAGTAACAACTTTTATAGAGGAGATCAAAAGATATTTGAGAGGTGCAGATTTTTTGGTGGTATTAATTTTAGTATAGAGAATTCGAATTCAACAAATAGTAGCATGGGAGACTCATGATCGATTTCATCAAATACGACTACACTCTGCACAAATTCAACAGAGCATAAGCAGTTTTCAATACTTTTTAACTGGCTCAATAACTAACAGTACTGTAATTTTTCACAATTTTTATTAATAAAATACAATACATTTATTCCAAAATACATACACTACAATTTAAAGTAGTCTATTTACTGATTCGTCAGTACTTTTTCCAATTCTGATATCTGCTCGTTTATGGTTGGCTTTCCTTCATACATTATTAAAACTGTAGAAGCTCTTTGTCGGAGAAATTGTGGTTCATCGATGGCTCATCTTTCAAGGAGGTCGTCTCAATACCGTCTTCAAAAGTATCATACTCAATTATTGGATGACGAGGAAGTAGTTCGGAATTAAGTGCAAAAGCTTTTCTGAAACACTGCCACGTATTTTTTATTTCATAACACTCCTACCTGATAGCCAGAGTTATTTTTCTAATTTTTTATAATACCAACGCATGTCCTTTTATATTTTGTGGCTAAAGCCACCGATTAAAATATTTCTGAGCTTCATTACACTTTTACAAATTAATATATTTACCAAGATTTATTTTGACAGTGCTCCACTTGTAATTTTAAGGTGACTTTTCTAATACCTACTTTACGTCAACAATTCCTTCAAGTATTTATTCAGACGGATATCTTCAAGGTCATCGTGATTACGTTTTGTAGTATTTACATCGATGGTAAAATTCAAACAACAAGTTATTAGTATTTTGAGCTTTTAAGTCTATTGTAGTTTTGATTTTGAGCCGAATCTCATAAACATATTGTTGAATACTCAAAAAATTCTATACTTGAGTTGAAAAGTTGTTCAATATAATGGAAAGTAAAATAGAGTTGGTACCATTGACGGCCAACTGAGCAAAAACTAGAATAGGCTCTTGAAGCGATTCACGAAGTACTTCATTGATTTATTTGCCGTCAAATTTCTGCTTTACACTTTTGAGATCTGGCCATAAACTCAATTCATAAAGAAATCCGTGGATGCATTGTCAATAGTAGTAGTAGTAGTAGAAAGATTTATTTAGCACATTTGGCTACATAAACAGAATAATTGTAAACAACTTAGAACTAGTAAATTCAAGCCATATGGTGTATGATGTAAATGCTGGGCGACCTATAATTGTAGATTTAACAAGTGATTTTTCAATTTTACTTTAAATTTTGTCAATGTTTTCTGGTCTTTTATCTCCGAGTATAATTTATTATATTCAATCAACCCTTGATGGAATACAGATTTGTAGCATATGTTATACTTTTTGGTCATTAAATGGAAGTCATCTTTATTTCTGGTATTATGTAAATGATGGTCGACATTTGATGATGTTGAATTAGTTAGACTTGATGGAAATATATTATTTTTTACTTTATAAATGAATATCATTACAAGATATTTGATAAAAAATTTTACATTGAGCCATTTTAATTTGCTAAGCATTTGTCTAATTGGAGTATATTTATCTTTATTTAGTATTATCCTCATGCACTTATTTTGTAAAATTTGCAGTCTTTCAAAAATGGAATTATTTGCTAAATATAGAATAGTCGAACAGTACAAGAAATTTGGAAGAATGATGAAATTATTACTTTTTCATAATGAATATCAAAAATTAATCGAGAGTCAACAAAAACCCCCAGGTATTTAAAATTTTCTACGAATTCAATATCTTCACCATCAATATTCAGTCGAACATTTGTAAATTGTTTTTTCCGATTAACAAGGCTTTCGTTTTACTTGCATTTAATTTTAGTCTGTTAGATGCTAACCATTTTGAGACAAGCTTCAAGTCTTCATTTATATAAGAGATTCCAGATTGAATATTTTTAGTACTTATATAAATCATAGTGTCATCGGCGAAAATGAATTTTGCATTTTTTGACTATGGCAGGTAATTCATTTACGTATAAAATAAAAGAAGTGGTCCCAGGATACTGCCTTGTGGAACACCCAACGTATTTTCAATTTTTGATGAAATAGTGTCATTAATATTTGTAACTTGCATCCTTTTAGACAAATAATTTCTAAACCAATCTAAAACACTTCTTGTTATACCATATGCCTTCAATTTACCTAACAAAATATCTCTATCAATCGTTTCAAATGCCCTCTTCAAATCCAAAAATACTGCTATGACAACTTCTTCTGCGTCTATGGCTATTCTCCAATTCTCAGTTACCAACTGGAAAGCCGTTTCTGTGGAATATTTTTTTCGAAAGCCTGCTTGCGCCTCCACTAAAATTTTGTTTTCTTCTATAAACTGCATTAATTGGTCATGCACTATGGACTCTAATAATTTTTCAATGTCTGGTAACACATTTACTGGTCTCATATCGCTGCATCTTTTAGAATTTTTTATTTTGGGAACTGGTGTTATTGTAGAGCATTTCAAATTTTCAGGAAAAGAACTGCTTCTCAGTGAACAATTGATCCAATTTAATACAGGATATCCCAAAATTTCGAAACAGTTTTTCAGCACGTTTTTAGTAGTGATTTCGGCACAGTTGTTATTTGATTTTAAACTGTTTACTTGTTTTCTTAGATAATTCAATGAAACGCTGTGAAATTTTGAAAGTGTATGCAACATTTCCCCCTGGAAACAGATTTTCATATAGTCAGGTGCAGCATTGGCAGTACCCACAATATCAACAATACTTTCCACAAAATATTCATTTAGTTTGTTTGCAATCACCAAAGAATTTGTTTCGGTACCGTTTTCGAATTGAACTTGATTTACACAATCATGCGGCTTCGAATTGATCAGTCTTTTTAAAGTCTTCCACATCTTTACACTGTCGCACTTGTTATTATCGATTTGTTTATCGTAGAATTTTCTTTTTTCTTCTCTAATTACATATACACATTTATTCCTAAGAGTTTTATATACCTCCCAATCATCATTTGATTTTGTGAATATACATTTATTGTATTGTTTGTCTCTCAAATTTTGAGCTGCCTTAATATTCTTGTTATACCAGGGTGTATTTTTTGTCGAGCAAATCACTTTTTGATCAGTTGCAAGATCTAAAAGTTTTTATATTTCCTATTATGTTGTCATATATTTTTTCCATATTCTCACCAAAATTCCAATGGCAGCCAGCAAGTTCTCGTTCAAGGTTTTCGTACTTAATAAGCGGGTATTACAAATACATACAGCCGATGAAATGTGGAACTTTTATTTACTAGTCTAGTATTTTATGGAATCCTGAATACACTTACGCAGTACAAATAGGATTAGGAATGCACTCACCGTAAAGTCATATCAAATTTACAACTTCGTTATTGCTGTTGGTATGTGCCAATTCTGGTTTTATCAAAAAAGTTTGTAAATAAACTGCGCATTTGAATTCTGAAGTAAGTCGTACCTTTTCACATCTGGCTAATTCAAATGTTTTTGGAACTTAACATAGATCGGTTATCTTGAAGCTGTGGTATTTGTGTTAGTAGGAAAAATTACTTACTTTTACATAAGCTATAAGGTAATACCCAATCTTAAGGACTCGCTGTATATAAGTTAATACCAACCAACGAACTCAACTTCGAAACCTTTAAGTCGACCGCTATACGTCTCATCATGATAGCGCGTGCTGCATTCTATCTGGATGAGTAGCAATTCCTTGGTTGTCCAAAAGCCATCCTCTTTTTGCAGTTTCAGCTCAACGAGATGCGCTTCTTGCATCGGAGACTCCGCCAGAAGCCACTGGTATCGCCATTCAGACGGCTGGAGGGCGTCTGGGGGCCGAGACATAAGAGAGGGGCCCCAAGGGGGCGGTGAAAGAGGAGGCGGAAGCAAGAGACCGCCCTGGGAGTCACTGCCTTCGCTTAGACAGGACAGCAGTATGAATGATAGCGGGTACAAGAGCGGGAGAGGGGATAGCTTCGAACAGAGGTAAGGGAGACAACTCAAGGTCACAGTTTTTCATACCATGCGAATCATTCACGGTTAGAGATGATCTTAGCAGCGACTTGCAAGTCGCCGGGATACCGGTGACAGCGACCTTAAAGTCGCCGGTAGATTTAGCAGCGGTTTAGGTCACTGCTTATCTATGGTCGCTGCCAGCAGCCAGCGACTCCCTGGCGCTGATTAAATTACTCGATATTTGGCGGCGGTTATCGATTGATATTAACGAGGTGTAGATGTTCAGGTTCCTGAAGATTTCAATTAAACTATATTTAAGGTTCTTGTTTTAAACATTATTGAGCACAAAACACATATAATCATAAAAATACATAAAATATCTTTCTATGAATCTTAAAAAGTAAAACAAGATACTATTTTACCAGTCAAAATAAAACATTTAAAACATAACAAATGTAGTATAAAAATGCTTCTTTTATATGTTAAACATTGCTTAATAAACGAAACATTTTTCTATGAAACAGGAACTCACAACAATAACAATAAAAACTTACAAAATAGGTTAGGCTACGCTGTAGCGACCCTGTACTTCCCGCGCGATGATCGCGAACGCGATGTGTATACAGGGTGTTTCAGTTTATTGTTGCATAACTTTAAGATTCGATAGAACTTTTAAAATTAATGCCTAAAGTCTATATAAACATGGGTCGAAAAATGTGTGGCTTCCGAAATACAGGGTGTTTAAATTTACTCTCTAAAATAGTTTTTTTTAAATATTTCGAACAATATTTGATGTATAACAGTGAAAATTGGTATACAAGTGTTTTTTGGTACGACAAAACGAACCATGGTCATTGTTTTACTGTAGCCGCTAGAGGGCGCTCTCTACTGTACCTGTAGTGTATTGAAATGACCGTAAATTTTTCCTAGTGCAGTTTTTCGCTTTTTGAGTGGAAAAACTGATTCTTCGCACTTTTCAACATAAAAAAGCTCAATTGTGAATTTTCGTTATAGTTAGCCGTTTTTGAGATATTTCGATTCTTAAGGTTCGATGCATTTTTAATTATTTATGATAAAATAACGTTAAAAAGTCAGTATCTCGATAATTTTTAGAAGTAGGCTGTGCCTGCAATTATTTTTGAAATTGAAAGCAGAATAAGGTTAAACGTCAATTAGTTGACAGTTAGTTTTGTTGTCTGTTGAAACCTGAAACGTTTTTTTTGCAATTGTGAATGCACGAAATTTTGTTTCTTTTACCTATTTTTTTTTTGTAAGTTTTATAAAAATGCCATTTTTATTCTCCAATCAAGACTTAGCGGATATTCATTTTGTGTATGGCTTTGTAAATGGAAACGCAGCAGAATCAGCCACAGAATACTCACGAAGATTTCCAAAGAGACGACATCCAACTCGCTCAGTATTTGTAAGAGTGCATCGCCAAATGAAAAATGATTTTGGAAATCTCCAAAGGGATCAAAACATAAATGTTCGTCAGCTCAAATTTACCCGTATGATTCTCCATGAGTTTGATAGAGATCCGACCAAAAGTGTTAGGAGAGTTTCTGGTGCCTTGGGAATTTCAGCAAGACATGTTCACCGTGTTCTTAGAAATGACCATAGACGTCCTTACCGTTTGCAACCTGTGCAAGGACTACAGCCAGGGGACGGAGAATGAAGAATCACATTTTGTCAGTGGATCCTTGATAGAACTGGTAATAATAGGGAGTTTTTAAGTAACGTTTTATGGACCGATGGGTCATGCTTCACTAGACGTGGGGTGGTAAATTGTCATAATCAACATATTTGGTCGCATGAAAATCCGCATGCAGTTCGGGAAAGAAATTTTCAGCATGAATTTAGTGTGAACATGTGGATTTGGTATCTACTGTAATCGACTATTTGGACCCTACCTTTTGCCTGCAAGGTTAAATGCTGCGACCTTCTTGGAATTTTTAAAGGCTTAACATGCAAATCTGTGGGATGATGTTATGTTAGATTTAAGAAGATTGGCCTGGTTCCAGCTTGATGGTTGTCCAGCTCATTATTCGAGAATAGTTAGAAACTGGCTGGACGAAAATTATCCAGAAAGATGTATCGGCCGTGGAGGACCAGTCGCCTGGCCTCCACGATCCCCTGACCTAAATCCATTGTGTGGGGATTTCTAAAAGAAAAGGTGTTCAAGACTCCCGTAAACATAAGAGATATGCTAATAGACAGAATCAGGAATGCATGTGATGAAATAAGGCCTTATTTGAATAATGCTATACCACGTTCGATCATTCGTAGATGTGAATTGTGTATTGAACAATTGGGTTTACATTTCGAGCAACTACTTTAGATTTTGTATGTTTGTCCTAACTATCCAATAGCATTTTAGTTGTAAATAATTAATTTAATTTGTTAAAAATAATATTGGAAAATTAAACAAATTAATATCCTGTTTTTTTGTGTTTATTTGGAGTTAGGAATTATTGCTGTGTTTAAAAATACAATCTAAACGATCATCTTAATTACTTGTAATGCCCAAATCGAAAATGTAAAAAAAATATTATTTTCCCATAAGTAATTAAAAATGCATCGAACCTTAGAAATCGAAATATCTCAAAAATGGCTAACTATAACGAACACTCACAAGAGAGCTTTTTTATGTCGAAAAGTACGTAGAATCAGTTGTTTTATTCAAAACGCAAAAAAATTGCACTAAGAAAAAATGTTCGGTCATTTTAATACACTACAGGTACAGTAGAGAGCGCCCTCTAGCGGCTACAGTAAAACTATGCCCATGGTTCGTTTTGTCGTACCAAAAAACCCTTGTATACCAATTTTCACTATTATGCATAAAATATTGTTCGAAATATTTAAAAAAAACTATTTTAGAAAGTAAATTAAACACCCTGTATTTCGGAGGCCACGCATTTTTCGACCCATGTTTATATAGACTTTATGCATTAATTTTAAAAGTTCTATCGAATCTTAAAGTTATGCAACAATAAACTTGAACACCCTGTATATGAGCTCTCATGTCTCTTTGACCTTTATTTTATAACTTATTTTTACATTTCAGAGGAATCTTTGATCGCCAAGACAGCTTGAGGTCAGACTACATGAGTGATAGAGAATCAACAAGATATGGGATCGTTCAACAGGCATCCATCGAAAGTGCGGACTCCAGGTTGTGCTACTTGACATCCTCAGAGGTGAGTCTGGCATGAATTTATTTACTAGATACCTACAGCATTCCGATATGGATGACAAGATGACAACAAATATATTGTCGTTTAAAAATTAAGGGCACTAGATACCAAAATCTGCTGGGTCTTACAAACAACTAAGTCGATTTTTACTGCTCATGATTGCTGCAATTGTCGCTGCCACGTCAAGGCCTTCACGGCCTGCTGGCCAGTACGAGCGCGCAAATTTGGTGTTTGTTTTAAAGGGATCAAAATGTGGTCGAAAAACACTTTTAGCTTTGATTTTGGTTAGTATCTTGAGAACAACCGATATGAAAATGAACTGTAAAGGTAGCTGAGCTAACTTTGACAGCGATGAGTGGTTAAAACTAACGACCATTATTACAGATCTTAATAAATCACTCCTCGAAAAGCTCGTTTACCTATTGATTGGATCAGAGGTGTGCAGAGTGTCCAAATAGCTTGAATGCAGCAAAATACTTTTTTGAGAGAAACAAAGATGTAATATTTGAAATGGTTATCCGAAAGTGACCCTGAACGTAACCTTGACTCTCATTTCCAAGGTCGTTTAACGGTCAATACACTTTTCTGAAAGGGAATCCCAATTTTTGATATCGGAAATGTAAGGAGTGGGAATTTTTAAGTTCCAGAAGATGCTTGTTCATGTCCCTTTAGGGCCTGCAAAAGGTATGGCGAAAGCAAAATATCTCGAAAAATATACTACCTAGGGAACAATGCTGCAGAGAAAAGTTGACCAGGTGTGACTAGCGTGATCTTGATCACATTCTCAAAGGTTTTACGGCGATCGAAGATTCAGCTGGACGTGGAATCACTATTCTGGACACAAGAATAAAAGTGTTCCGTAAAATGAGCCATTTGACGTTCATATGACCTTGAAGATCATAGTCAAGGTAAAAGTCAGGTACATGATAGTGACCTTGATCTAAAATTTTGCGTAATTTGCGTTTCTGGAACAAAAAATGGATGTTTCCTGTTGAAAATGACCATACTTGAACATAATGTTATCTGCTCTTGAATTTCATATTCGAGGTTACTTTCAAAGTCATCATCTTTCGCGCCAAGGTAATAGACAAGGACTCATTTGAACATAAAATTTCCCGCTTTTTACATTTAAGAAACTTGTGCTCACCTTCAAATGACCTTTAAGGTCACCATTAGATGACACTTTTCAAACTTCACAATCTAGCTCTCCACTTTTCTCTAGGAAACCCTCTACACTATGAAAAAGTTCCTGGACTGGTGATAAAATCAAAAGTTTGTCCACCATTTTAAATTTATTAAAGATATATTAATGATATGCGAATATTGAAGGGTATGAGTCTACATAAAAAATTAATGTTAGTTTGCTTTATAAACTACGGTCCAAAAATGTTTCCTTACAAAAATTCTGGGTGTTGAAGTTTTCTCTTCATTCTCCTACAGTCTTGATGGGACTAATGTACACTAGCGTCTTAAGATAGCCCCACAAAAAGACATCTAAACTGTTGAGGTCTGGGGATCTTGGTGACCATTCTTGAGGCCCACCGCGGCCAATCCAGCGATTTGGATAAACCGTTTGTAAATAATTACGAGCCGCTACACTGAAATGCGCTGGTGCAGCATCATGCATGCACAACATATTGTTTCTTATTACTAACGGAACATCATCAAGCAGCAAAGGTAACTATTTTTGAAGAAAATTGAGGTAAGTCTGTCCGTCAAGTCGTCCCGGCAAGAAGAATGGGCCAATAACGTGGTTGCCAATAATTTCTGCCCATACGTTAACCGAAAATTGGTGTTGGAAATGGGTTTCGGTTACGGCATAGGGATTGTCTTCTGCCCACAAATGCTTATTGTGAAAATTCTGAATAGCATTTCGAGAAAAATTAGCATCGTCCGTAAACAGAATCATTGATTCAAATTGCGGATTATGTGTAATTTTTTGACGATACTACTGACAAAAGGTCACACGCCTTGGAAAATCAATGGGAAGTAATGCCTGTACTCTTAAAATATGGCAAGGATATAACAAAAAATTCTCCAAACAATTTGGTGGCAAATATTTAAGTGTCTAGCGATCTTCCTCGTATTCGTTTCAGGATGTTCTTCGACTTCGTGCAGCACTGCTTGCTCAATTTCAGGTGATCTCACACTTAGTGGTCTATCTTCAGACAGAACCAGTTTCAACAAGACGACGATGAATATTAGAAAAGATTCTACTATCTGGCAAAGCACGATCGGGATATCTCGGGTGACAAATCCATCTTGCTTGCTCACCTTTTCCGTCGGCAAGGCCATATATGTAATGCATTTCCGCCATTTCTGCAAAACAAAATAATGAAAAAGTCACAGCGAAGAGATTTTATTAAAAGAGACTTGTAAGATGTCAAAAGCATTCTTCAATTATTACATTAATTTTCTCGGACAATAGAACGGTTTTATTTCTTTACTCAAAAATGGCGCATCGAAAAAAAAACAATTCGAGAAAGATCATTTGTTTCAAATTGAACGGGGCATTCAAAAATAATTTTTATTTGGCCAAAAACCATTGGCGTACCGTTTCTTTCTTAAAAAATATCGAAGTCAATACCCTTACGCACGCCACTGTTGAAGCTAAAAGTTATTTTTGCATTGAAAAATATGCAACTGCAATAACTTTCACTACGTACTAAATATCAGTGAAACATCTGAAGCGGTTCTGAAAATATTAATTCATTTCCATTTTTTTCCTAAAACTTCAACACCCCGAGTTTTTGTAAAGAAACATTTTTCGACCATAGTTTATATAGCAAACTAACATTAATTTTTCGTGTAGATTCACACCCTTAGATATTCGCATATCATTAAGGAACATCATGTATATCCAACATGTGAGAAACATCTTAATTAGAGTATTAACATTTTAAAGATCCATCTTACCATAAACCAAAAACGAAAAAAATCTAACAGGATGTGGGGTTCCAAAGCAGTCATCCATCCAAGTACTACCCGCGCCTGATGCAGCTTAGCTCTGCGGATGATAAACCGTTATGTGGTATTATTGCGTGAAATAGTTACCAAAACTAGTTTGTCTTAGTGAACGCGACCAAACTAGAAAGCACATCACTAATGCAAGATATTCTGCCGATGCTGCCGATGTTACCTTGTGTTGTACTCACTATAGAAAACTAGTACAGCACAATACACAATGTACTACCGCTAACATTGGCGGCATCTAGCGGCGATGGCGAACTGAGATACGGTAAAGCCGCGTACAGACCGAGATTGCAACGTAAGCCAAGGCACATGTGGTAACAGATTTGAAGGTGTTCGAATCGGTGTGTACGGCGCGAGCCAACATAATAACGGTTTCCAGTGCCGGCGTTGGCGTTCGATTGCGTTCGCTCCTTGATCGGTACAACAAAGGGAAGTTTGATTTGGTCTGGACACGTTTGTTGCGCTTCTAGTATTTAGTCGTTTGTCTGCATTCGATAAGAGGAGACTCGACTCTCGATATTAGCACCGAACTAGACCCAACGCGGTCCAACTAGAAATTAAATTTACAGGTAGGTGTAGACGAGCGCATTGCAATAACATCCAACAACAAACGCCAACGTCACATGTGCTTGCATTCGTTTGCTTGGCGATTTTTCGTCTGTACGCGGCTTTAGGGTTCCGATCCATGTTTGCTCTTTGATGTAGCCAATTCTGGTAGTAGCCGTTAGTAAAATTGTATTGCCCTCAACTTTACACCTCTGTTTTCGTTCCCTGTTACACCTGGACTGTGCTGATGATTGTCAATAAGCATAAGACTCCGTAGCCGTTGAGATACACTCAAACTGCCAACATCTATCTAGCAGAAACGTAATTATTTTTACTAACCAGTAAGTTGATCTGCATATTAATATTACATTCTTAACGCGCTTTGTGTTGTAATTTTTTTGATTGATTCGATAAAATAACATGTACCTGAAGATGATGTTTAAAGCCGACGAAACGTTGTATTTATACTATGTGACATATAAATCCGAACACCCAGTTTAAATGGTTTTATTTTAATAAAATTTTGTATAAGTACTTAATGAAGCATAATAAGTAAATGATAAAAATTTCAAAATGATTGCACTGCTTTAAAGCCCTTTGACCTTTAATAATGTGTGGATGCACCCTCATGTGCTACGCATTCTCCAACGCGCCTAGGCATGCTTCTGATCAGGTGGTCAATGTCCTCCTGTGGTATCTCATTCCAGGCAACCACCAACTCCTCTCGAAGTGCTTCTAGAGTCTCAGGAGGACGTTATAAATTCATGGGCCAATGAATATCTTCAAAGCAATCAAAACAATATGTCGTCCCCATCCTAAAACACCGATATGTGTAAAACATGTTAATCCCTACATCTCCGAGGTGCATAATGCAATTACTGTAGACATAGACCGAAAATTATCAGTAATTACTGAAAAATAATGTCGGGCTCATGCACGACTTAACGTAACCAGATTTAAGGATCAGCTGTTTCTACAGCAGTGTCCTCCACGTGTTACGCCGCCAGATGGTAACTAGCTAGTGATTTCCAGTGGTGGTCAACATTTTGGTGACGTCACAGCCATTTTTTGACATGATTCGGGTGGTTTCGGAACTCGTCTTACCCTTGGATAGCCCTTTCTATACTGTTCTATGCTCGTATTGACGTAATTATAATAATTCTGTGGTGTCTCGTGTTCCACGACGATTTACGGTCAAAGCCAGGCGGTGAATCATCTGTTGTTTTTGTTTGAGTTGTTGACGAATTTGCGGTAGAGATGTGTTTTGGTGTTCGTCTTCAGGTGTGTTTTTCTGCCTTGGACTTGTTTTTGGTGCGATTACTTGAGGATGGCCATGCCTAGAGCAAAAAAAAAACGAGAGCCGCGCTGGTATCAACTCCTGACCGTGGTGAAGAGGTACCTGCAGAAGGCACCTGAACGCAATCGGACATCGCCAGAGGAGCGCCTAATGATGACGTCCTGTACACTTTAAATCTGCACGAACCCC